GGCTAAGAGTATCAAGCGATGTCAAGAGCTACGTCTAGAGTCGCGGTCTTAACTACACCAAAGTTCCACCTAAGCACTTTCTGGACGAGAATTTGTCAGCATAATAGCGAGGGACTTTCGAATCGACTTAAAGTGGCAAAGCTACAAGTGGTCCGGACCCACTGAAACTCCAAAATCTTGGCTGAAGCGCATTTATCGCAGCTTTCAATCGAATTAGAGACAGGGATGACGCCTCAGGTCTTCACAATAAGCATCCAAACAGGTGAAGGGGGACCGTTGAACAAATAGAGGAGATTTTGCAATCGCCTGCTTTCACAGAGTACCATGACAGCCTAAGTGTTCCCACTCGTAATCCCATCGTAGGGGGGGGAGGTGGGACATGAGGAATGGCGTTAGACAACCAGTTAGCGAGACAACTTAAAGTGCGTGCAGGCAACGGTATGCATGCAGCGTGTACAAGCTGAGGAGCATTGTGCATGGCGATCACAAACGGCACACCAATACGAAAACAGAGGCAGGAAAGCCCAAAATGAGTGAGTGAATTGAGGAGATAGGGAGGGAGAGAAGGGAAGAGAACAAAAGGTGGACTGAGCACTGCTACCAACCAATGGATTAGCCGGGCTAACTGGCTGAGCCCCGAGATGATAGGCGGCGGCGGCGGCGGCGGTGGCTGCAGCGGAGGAGTCAAGGTGCCCACCATAGACGAGCATCGAGGGTGTTGTAAATAACGGTGCGTACACCGCTGAGGCTGCATCGTTCACACAGGCGGCGGGCCGCTTTCTTGATGGTGTCGGTGACGTTGCCTGCGCTTGAGGGTAGAGACTTGTACACAATGGACCCACTAGAACTGTCTTTGGCGATGGGAACATGTGAGCGAGTTGTTGAGCGGACGAGGCATCCACATTGGCTGCAAGCGCAGCTGCTGCTGCCGCAATAGCTGGTGTTGGAACAGTGGCTGAGGGTGGTTGTGATGGTGGTGGCGGTGGCGTTGGCTGGGGTAACTACTTGCCAGCATGCAGGAATGTGCGAGGAAAGCAAACAAACAAACAAACAAAAAGAGAAAGCCCATAGTTTTTAGTAGTAGTAGTAGAGATAGTTAGCATGACAAGCAAGCAAGGGAGTGATTGAATGAAGAATGAATGAATAATAACAGGTAGATGGAACAAAAAAAAATTTTTTGTATATAAAATGAAAATGACGCAGACAACAGAGTGATCGCCTTTA